TTTTTTTTTTTTTTTTGAGATGGAGTTTTGCTCTTGTTGCCCAGGCTGGAGCACAATGGCTCGATCTCAGCTTGCTGCAACCTCTGCCTTCCAGGTTCAAGTGATTCTCCTGCCTTAGCCTCCTGAGTAGCTGGGATTACAGGTGCCCACCACCACAACCAGCTAATTTTTGTATTTTCAGTAGAAACGGGATTTCATCATGTTGGCCAGACTGGTCTCGAATTCCTGACCTCAGATGATCTGCCCGCCTCGGCCTCCCAAAGTGCTGGGATTACAGGCGTGAGCCACCGAGGCCTGCCTAGACAGTCTTAAAAGCCTAACAACACTAAGGAATCTGTTATCTGGAATATTTTTACTAATTGCGAAGCATACCTGTACTTCAAGTTTTTTTCAGTTTTTATTCCTAAGTTTAGAAGAGCCAATTTGTGAGAAAAGACAAAAAGTGAGAATCCACAATTTCTGCCCCTCAGATCCTAAAATCTAAGGCAGAGAGATTAAACATACGCACATGAAGATACTCACATGGAGAGACTAAGAATATCAAGAATAAAAATATACTATCAATTCAACATTACTAATATGGAATACTTAAAATATTTAATTGGTTATAAAAAGAAAAATATTAAATATTAGTACTAGAAAGTAGTCCCAGTTACTCAAGAAGCTGATGTGGGAGGATCACTTGAACCCATGAGTTTGAGGCTGCAGTTAGCTATGATCACACCACCACACCACTGACCTACAGGCTGGGCAACAGAGTGAGACCGTGTCTCAAAAAAAAAAAAAAAAAGAAAAGAAAACAAGTTATTAACATTAGTCTTTGTTTACCAATTACAAATTATCTTGATAAAATTCCCTATGGCTTAACTGTCTTATGTAACTACAGCAAAAGTCCTCAAACAAGTTTTCCAAAACTGACAAGGAATAATGTGGGCAAGTCAATTGGGAAATCATAATCTTAATTAAAATCAAGTTCAACACTTCACTTGGTTTTTTGTTTATTGTTTTTTTTTTTTTTTGAGACAGAATCTCACTCTGTCACCCAGGCTGGAGTGCAGTGGCGTGATCTCAGCTCACTGCAACCTCCACCTCCCAGGTTCAAGCGAGTCTCCTGCCTCAGCCTGGTGAGTAGCTGGGATTACAGGCACGCGCCACCACGCCTGGCTAATTTTTGTATTTTTAGTAGAAACCGGGTTTCACCATGTTGGTCAGGCTGGTCTCCAACTCCTGACCTCATGATCCATCCACCTCAGCCTTCCAATGTGCTAGGATTACAGGTGTGAGCCACTGAACCCAGCTGAACCCTTAGGTCTTTCCTACTAAGTTGTTTAAATGTTTCTGAACAAACAGAGTAAAGAGCATGAAGTAATATTATTAGTGTATCTTACCTGAGCCAAGTCTGCAGGCAATGCTTAACCACCCCAAATTCAATAAAATGCTTAGGATGTGTACATTCGATTGTAAAACATGAAAATAAATAATCATCTCAGGGAAGGACCACAAGCATATCATAAGCAATCTCCTGGTTTAAAAGAAAAAAGGCCAAGAGAGACGAAAAGTAAAGGAAAGAAGGTTGAAAAAGGAAAAAAGCAAGGGCAAAACTTCCCTGCAGATAATTTTCCCTATTTCCTCAGTCTGCCCTTTGTTCTCCATTTTTAAAATCCTCCAACTGAATGGAACAAGTTCCATGTGTTTAGTTCACTCTTTATGGGGATACTTTTTCCTATAAACGTCCTTCTGCAAAAAAAAAAAAATATTCTGATATTTACACGATCAATTATCATTTTATAGAAGCAATAGTTGTTCTTGCTACTCATAAGGACTCCAGAACAGTTTAGCGATAATTCTTTTTAAAGGGGCTTTGTAAATTGTATGAAATAGGCCAAATCCATATACGACTACTATCTTAATCGTAACTGGGGAGGTAGGATTCCGCAGAGCAAAAATCCTTCATCCTAACATGTTAACAGAATGCTCTGCATCCTTAGCACAGGGCCAGTATTCAAACCAAGCGAAAAACTATTTTAAAAACACTCACAAGGGGCGAACCAAGGAAGAGGACAGCGTGTGACTGAGGAGGCAGCAGGGCGACTAACGGGCTCCATGAACCCCGAATGGCTTAAAGGACACAAGACCCGAGGACTTAAGGCAGTTTCCTCCTGCACCCCAAGTTGCGCTTTAGATTCCCAGGATTAAGCGAGCAGTGTATTTCGTACTTTAAAACTCTGCAAGTAGTCTAAGCAAGCCATGAGACAGCCAAGGGAGCCAGGAGGGGCCCGCGGGACGCAGGAGCCTGAGAAAGAAGAGAGCTGGGGAGGGAAAGGCCAGGCGCAGGGCCTGGAACTGGTCATCGCGGGCCAGGCCTGGTCCGGGTTGCCGCGGGAGAGGACGCGGCGCAGCATCTAACTCACCTGCCCATTCTCCGAGCCCCGGGCCGACCCCCGCCTCGTTCCCCACTCCCCAGACCCGGAAGGCCGTGAAGAGTGAGTACGAGATGCGCAGGGCTAGGTAGGCCACGGTGCCCGCGCCCACCCAGTACAGGAAGCCGGCGACAGGGAGGGTGCTCTCCATGGCTTTCCACTAGGCCTCACTACCTTCGTGAATGAAAAAAGCGAATGAATGAATGCAGGAGGAGGCGCCGGCCGTGACGGAGAGGACTACACTGACAGGCGCTGCTCCGACATCACTTTGGGCCTAAACCCCGCCTGCGGCGCCATATCCGTGTCGCTATTGGTGGTCTGTCTTTCCTTCTGCTCTTAGAGCGTTAGTTATTGGCTGACTCTTGTTCCACTGCCCCGCCCACACTCCCCCCTCCCACTCCCCCCCCCACACACACACTGTGTCGCGTTTCCGTTCTAAAGCAGTGGACAGCTCACCTGCCAATCAAGCTTTAGTCCCACCCAATAGCTTCACCACGCTGCTCAGGGTTCCGCCAGCGAGTGCCCTGTCTCACCCCACCGAGGCGCCCCGGTCTCTCATTGGCTGCATCCGTACTCGCGACTGCGGAAGACTGCGCTCGGATTGGCCAGTCAGGTTAGTTTGAGCTCAGGTTTGAAGAGGGAGTAAGATCAGAGAAGCCGCTAGTGAATTGAAAGATTGTAGTAAGAAGTGGGCGTGAGTAGGGCGCGGTGGCTAACACCTGCAATCCCAGCAGTTTGGGAGGCCGAGGCGGGCGGATCTTTTGAGCTTAGGAGTTGGAAACCAGCCTAGCTAACATGGCGAAACCCCGTCCCAACTAAAAATACAAAAATTAGCTGGGCGTGGTGGCGCGCGCCTGTAGTCCCAGCTACTCAGGAGGCTGAGGCAGGAGAATCACTTGAACCCGGGAGGCTGAGGTTGCAGTGAGTCCAGATCGCTGCACTGCACTCCAGCCTGGGCGACAGAGTGAGACTCCATCTCAAAACATACACACACACACACACACACAGAAAGAGAGAGAGAGAGAGAGAGAGGAGAGAGAGAGGGAGAGAGGGCGTGAAGCCACAGTTTTATTTTCACCTATTTATTAAATAAATATATATTTTACATATATATGACATAATAAATATATCATTGTTAAGCATGCTGTCATTGTTCCCATAAACTTTTCCAGATAAAGGCTTTCAGTCTTCTGTGTCTGTGCCTTCCTGGCATAGGTGGCCCTCTAAATACTAGGCCTCGCTCCCAGCTGAGCACCAAACATCACTCAGTTCCCAACGACTTAGAGTTCAAGGCAAATAACCTGAAGAAGTGGAATAACTGTTACACAATGGCATCAGAGCTGTACAGTGAGTGAAAAAGATAGGAACATAGCTTGCTGAACAGTAAGTTTTGAAAGGAGACTGTATGTTTTAATTTATCTTCAAAGGAGGATAGAAAATTTTACTTTCTTTTTTGGTTAGGGGCAGGGAGAATGGTATTTCCAGGGGGCACAGAAGCGTGCAGTCCAGGTAGAGACATGGGAACTACATCAGCAAAGTTCCAGAGGAGAAAGACCACAAGGTAAGTTTTAAAAATTGTGTAAAGCAGCCGGGCGCGGTTGCTCAAGCCTGTAATCCCAGCACTTTGGGAGGCCGAGGCGGGTGGATCACGAGGTCAAGAGATCGAGACCATCCTGGTCAACATGGTGAAACCCCGTCTCTATTAAAAATACAAAACATTAGCTGGGCATGGTGGCGCATGCCTGTAATCCCAGCTACTCAGGAGGTTGAGGCAGGAGAATTGCCTAAGCCCAGGAGGCGGAGGTTGCGTTGAGCCGAGATCGCGCCATTGCACTCCAGACTGGGTAATAAGAGCAAAACTCCGTATCAAAAAAAAAAATTGTGTAAAGCAATAAAGTGTTTCACACTTACTCTCTACCTTGCTCCAAGAGTTGTTTCCTTCTCTGGCATGGCTTTGGGCTCACAAAGTTACCTAAATTTTGTCCCTAGTCAGTAGGGGCTGCTGATTGAAGACTTAAGAGGTTTTTTTTGTAAAGCAGGAACTTAAGGATAATAATTCTAAGGGTAACCATTGAACATATCTTGGAGCTAACTTTATAGTTTGCTAAGATTCAATTTGAGCCTTATTTCTTGCTGCCCAAACCCCCCCTTCTCCATTCTCTTATCAGATTAATTAGGTCTAACCCCAAGGCTGTAAATGTAAACCATCAATTACCCTGCAGAATTCAGCCATGTGAGTTGAGCTGACATCATATTTTATTTTAATTGAATTTGGTACCTTTGGCTGGGGCTGCCTCTTTGGTTCAGCGAAAGGCCCACCACTCTTCTCCCTCAGCTTCTCCCTCTTCCCCACATCTTTGCGTATGGTATAGCCATGTCTCCAAATTTATATATCCCAGCTCATCCTTGCTCACCAACAAAGCTCCCTCTAGATGTTCAGTCCCATTCTCCTTAGAATAGGGTGGAAGGGGGAGAAGACAGTTATTATAAACTAAATACATTTTTTTGCTGCATGTATCTGTCTGTCTGTGGCCCCCACTAGAATCTATGATTATAGGGGACACTATGCTGTGAATCCATAGGACCTAAACAGTGCCTGGGACGTAGAGGACCCCAAAATATATCTGAGAAATAAATAGAAGTGAAGATTCATTCATTTAACAAATACTATTGTGCTCTAATTATATGCCAATCACTGAGCTAGGTACTAGATATAAAACAGTGAGCAAATGGGCAATTCTCAGTCCTAACCCTACTCTACCATTCATCAGGGAGTGGCCACTGTTTTTCTCACAGTGTCCTTTGCTGGCTTCTCCTACTGGCCTCTAAATTACACAATGCCCTCAGGCTCAGACCCCAGCTCTCTTTACTTCTCTAATATATGATTTTATCCAGTCTCTTGGTTTTAAATATCAACTGTAAGCTGATTACTTCCAAATGTCTTTGTCCAGGCTCAACTTCTGCTTAGAGGTCCAGACTATATATCCACCTGCCTGTTCACATCTCTACTCAGATATAAAATAAGCATTTCAAACTTAACATGTTCAGAATAGAACTCTATGCTTAATACATGCACACACACACACACACACACACATACGCATCTTCTTCTTTTCTTTCCTATTTCTGATAATGATACCACTATTTACCCACTTTCTAAGGCCCAAGACCTAGGGATGAAACTTGATTCTTTTTTTTCCCTCTTGTCACTCAGGCTGGAGTGCAATGGTACAATCTCAGCTCACTGCAACCTCTGCCTCCAGAGTTCAAGTGATTCTCCTTCCTCAGCCTCTCAATTAGCTGGAATTACAGATGCCCACCACTATGGCCTGGCTAATTTTTGTATTTTTATTAGAGACAGCGTTTCACCATGTTGGCCAGGCTGGTCTCAAACTTCTGACCTCAAGTTATCGGTCCACCTCAGCCTCCCAAAGTGCTGGGATTATAGGCATGAGCCACCATGCCCTGCCTGAACCGTGATTCTTTTCTTCCATTACATTCCATATCCAATTCTTTAGCAGGTCTTGTTCACTCCCGTACCAAAATACATCTTGACATACCACTACCAGCCTAATTCAAATTGCAAGTATTTTTAGCCTGGAACATGGCAATAGCCTCCTGACTGGTATCCCTAAAGCCTGTCCTGGGGTTTGTTGACCATATAACAACTAGACTGTTTATTTTTTTTAAGTAAATTAGATATCATTTATTCTACTCAAATCCCTTCAAGAACTTTATATCACATTAAGAACAAAATCATCCAAGTTGAGTTTGTCTGCCCTAACCTCCCCAGCAACCACCCTCTCCTGTGCTCACTTAATTCCAGCCACACTAACTTCTTGCAGTTCCTCAAAGAAGTCAAGTTCATTCTGGTCTCAGAGTCGTTCTATTACACTTCCCCTTCCCTCTGCCTGAAACGTCTTAGCATCTTTCCAAGGTGTACTCCTTTATATTATTTAGGCTTTTGCTCATATGTCATCCTTCTTCGAACGGTTTGCGCTGACCGACCTTCATAACTGTCCCAAACAGCTTTCTCCTCTGCTCTAGCAATCCTTATCTTTTTACCCTACTTTGTTTTCCTTACAGAATGTAATGCTTTCAAACCGTCTGATCACTTAGCTCTTTGTCCATCTACCTAATAGAATGAATATAAGTTCATGAGTACAGTGAACTTTCCGTGTTCACCACCGTATCTTCAGCTAAGACGTGCACCCAAGCGTACTTGACACTTGGGGTACAATAAATACCTGTTGAGTGAGTGATGAATGAATAAATAAAAATAGACTGTCTAGTGGTAGAGACAGACATTCAGCAAACTTCCAACTAATTATATGATAAAAATTTTAATACGTACAAAGAAGAAAATACACTAGGACATAAGGAAAGAGATTAACAAGAGGACCTAATTTAGGTGGGAGAGAAGAAACAGCCTTGAAACGCCTTTCTAAGGAACCCATAATTGAACTGGGATCTCAGAATATGCAGAAATTGAGTGGAGGTGGAGCAGAGGAGAAAGCAACAAACACCCAATGGAGGTTTTGATGTGGTTTTCAAGAATATACATCTGTGCCTCTTGCAACTAACACAGCATATGGCATAAAATTAAATAGGCAATAATTACTTGTTGGTGTAGGACTATTTAAAATAAATACATGTACCTTGGAAATGGAATCTCCATTGTTGTTAGAACTGGTTATTTTAACGAAAAGGAATGTTAAATGCTGAAACTGTCTCATTTGGTATCCTTTCCTCTTCTAAAATGTCTAGGCACTACCCACGTTAATAGGAATAATTGTTCTTTTAAATGTACACATTTATTCTGATCATCTCAGCCTCTTTTTAGGAATTAGGAATACTAACTGTTTTGTCTACTAAGAGAAAAAAATAGTGACTTCCACAAAATGAAGCAGTACATTCCAGAGAGCCCTTTGGAGTTCAGGTGGTCCCACACTTTTGGAATTCAACAATCTCTTGTCTCTGAATAAACTTTAAGAACTCTAATGCATACAGGACCCTATAATGATGACCCACTCCTATTCAGCAGTATTCTGTGGTGAAATTTAACATGAAATGAAGGGTTAATAGAGCCATACTAACCAAATATGTGAAAGTTATAATACCTCTCCAAAAAGGAAGCACTATGATAAAACTCTGGCCTTCAGTGTCAGGTAAATCTGAGACCATATCCTAATTCTGCCTCTTATTAGCTGTATGATCTCGTATAGATTTAATATAACTGCACATTCAAATTTACGTCTGTAAAATGAGAACAATACTGCTTAAGCATTTAGCAGGGATTGACAGATTTATGTTGAATGAGGTAGGTATTACTGTTATTCCCATTTTACAAATAAGGAAGCAGAGGCTTAGAGCAAGTAAGTGGCAGAATTGGAATTTGAACCAAAAAGGTGTGACTATGAAATCATCTCTCCAGAACTAACTCAGAGAAAGCAGCATCTAAAAAGTGGCTAAGGGTGGGGCACGGTGTCTCATGCCTATAATCCCAGCACTTTGGGTGGATCCTTTGAGCTCAAGAGTTGGAGACCAGCGTGGGCAACATAGTGAAACCCCGTCTCTACAAAAAACACAAAAAAATTAGCTGGGCATGATGGTGCACGCCTGTAGTCCCAGCTACTTGGGAGGCTAGGCAGAATACTTGCTTGAGCCTGGGAGGTGAAGGATGCAGTAAGCTGAGATTGTGTCACTAGACTCCAGCCTGGGTGACAGAGTGAGACCCTGTCTCGAAAGAAAGAAAGAGAGAAAGAGAAAGAGAGAGAGACAGAAAATGAACGGGAGAGAAAAAGACTAAAGGAGAGTAAAAGAGTCTCTAGAAATATTTTGTTGTTACACAAATAAAATACTTGGACACAATCACATTAGATTTCAGCTTCATTTATTAACAAATTTAAAGTTTAGAATGGTATTTAATATGGAAAAATATGAAGCAACAATATTGTATCATATTAGTATACAGATATTCCCATTTAGTTGAAAATTCATTCCTAATATTTCTGTAAATTGAGTTTCAGATCAGAGTTTCCTGATGAAATCAGGAGTAGTTCAATATAATGAAAGAACATTTCATAATTAGGGAATTTCATAGAAGCAGGGAATTATTAAGCACACCATCTTGTTTAATCCTTTGAGACACAGCTGAATCCTTCATTTGGCTGTATAATAAAACCTTTTAACAGTTCTATGTTCTCTTTCATCTTCATTTAAACATTGTTCAAAATGTTGAACTTCAACCTGCCTTTAAATTCAGTTGTCTAATCCTGGGTTAAAAAGAAAATTGTTATGATGAACAAACCAATTTAAAAGAAACTAAGTTTTTAGCATTAGAAATTGGGAGATTTCAGGCCGGGTGCGGTGGCTCAAGCCTGTAATCCCAGCACTTTGGGAGGCCGAGGCGGGTGGATCACGAGGTCAAGAGATCGAGACCATCCTGGTCAACATGGTGAAACCCCGTCTCTACTAAAAAAAAATACAAAAAATTAGCTGGGCATGGTGGTGCGTGCCTGTAATCCCAGCTACTCAGGAGGCTGAGGCAGAAGAATTGCCTGAACCCAGGAGGCGGAGGTTGCGGTGAGCCGAGATCGTGCCATTGCACTCCAGCCTGGGTAACATGAGTGAAACTCTGTCTCAAAAAAAAAAAAAAAGAAATTGGGAGATTTCCCAAATGTTAATATTTAGTTTATTTAACAAGCAATATTACCGTGAGAAAGGAAGATTAACATTTATTGTCTGGGCGAGGTGGCTCACGCCTGTAATCCCAGCACTTTGGAAGGCCAAGGCAGGCGGATCACCTGAAGTCAAGAGTTGATGATCTGACTGGCTAACATGGTGAAACCCCGCCTCTACTAAAAATACCAAAATGAGCCAAATGCGGTGGCAGGTGCCTGTAATCCCAGCTGCTCCAGAGGCTGAGGCAGGAGAATCCCTTGAACCCAGGAGGCAGAAGTTGCAGTGAGCCAAGTTTGCACTACAGCACTCTAGCTTGGGCGACAGAGCGAAACTCTGTCTCAAAAACAAACAAAGAACATTTATTATGCTTTAATATTGCATTATCAACTTCAAAGTCAGTTCACATACGTTACCCCATTCAAACATCACAATAACACCTCCATTTTTTCAACAAGGAAATTAACTCTTTAAGTTAAACTTCTTGGGGAAGGAACACTTTACTGTAGCAGGCCTGTTTCTAGAACCAAGATGTCTGCACTAAAAATGCAGGGCTCTTTCTACTCTGCCACCTATTTTATAACAGACCTAGACTCACATTCATAGTCTTCTGTAAACCTGTTTCTCAAATAAAACTGAAATCAATATTTTGACACAAGTGATTAGAAGATGTAGTTTTAAAATTTTACTTATTTTTTAGTTTCAAAAGCACACAGAATTATATGAAACAAAAAAAGCATCCCCCCCCATTTTCTATTCCCACTAACAGTTGGCAATTTGTACTGTATTCTTCCATTTCTTTTTCTTTTCATTTCCATTTCTAAGTATGAAGCTATATAATATACACAACATATACATATATACTTTTTTAGAAGTAAAAGCTGTGATCATACAAAAATGATTCAACAACTTTCTTTCTCCACTCAATAATATATGGTTAAAAATACCATAGTGAGATCGGATGTGGTGGCTCACGCCTGTAATCCCAGCACTTTGGGAGGCCGAGGTGGGTGGATCACCTGAAGTCGGGAGTTCAAGACCAGCCTGACCAACATGGAGAAACCCTGTCTCAACTAAAAATACAAAATTAGCCGGGCTTGGTGACACATGCCTGTATTCCCAGCTACTTGGGAGGCTGAGGCAGGAGAATTGCTAGAACCCTGGAGGCGGAGGTTGTGGTGAGCTGAGATTGCACCATTACATTCCAACTGTCTCAACTAAAAATACAAAATTAGCCAGGCTCGGTGACACATGCCTGTAATCCCAGCTACTTGGGATGCTGAGGCAGGAGAATTGCTAGAACCCGGGAGACGGAGGTTGTGGTGAGCTGAGATTGCACCATTGCATTCCAACCTGGGCAACAAGAGCAAAACTCCATCTGAAAAAAAAAAAAAAAAAAACAAAAAACAACACACACACACACACAAAGTGAAATCTTGACATATGCAATATTGCACATTAACTGGTTTTCTTTATTGCATCAGCAGATCTAATAATCATTCCATCAATCTTAGAATACTTTTGCTTAAAGCAAGGAATTAGTGCCATGGTAAATAAACCAGTTTAAAACCACATGAAAGGGGCCAGGCACAGTGGCTCATGCCTGTAATCCCAGCACTCTGGGAGGCTGAAGTGGGCAGATCGCCTGAGGTCAGGAGTTCGTGACCAGCCTGGCCAACATGGCAAAACCCTGTCTCTACGAAAAAACAGAAATTAGCTGGGCGTGGTGGCACGCACTTGTAATCCCAGCTACTCGGGAGGCTGAGGCTGGAGAATTGCTTGAACCTGGGAGGCAGAGGTTGCAGTGAGCCAAGACTGCGCCACTGTACTCCAGCCTGGATGAGACAGCGAGACTCCATGTCAAAAATAAAAAAATAAAACCATGTGAAAGTAAACCATAATATCTTACCTATATTGTATTTCCAGCCAAAAATAACGTAACTGTAGGACAGTTATGCAGGCAAACTTAAGGCAAACAATATAGTGGAGGAGGTTTTCTTTACCTGAATCCTTACTTTAGCAATGGGTTCAAGGATTTGTTATCTTTACCCTATTTTTATTCTAAAAATTCTAGCTACTTTAGTTTCTATTACTTTTACCTAGTTCTTTCCTTTATTCCCCTTATCTTTTTAAAAAATTTGTATAAAGACAGAATTTTGCTGTGATACCCAGGCTGGAGTGCAGTGGTATGATCATATCTCAATGCAGCCTTCAACTCCTAGACTCAAACAATCCTCCTGCCTCAGCCTCCCAGGTAGCTAGGACTGCATGCACACAGCACCACACCCAGCTAATATTTTCTGTAGACACAAGGCCTTGCTATGTTGCCCAGGCTGGACTCCAACTCCTAGGCTCAAGCAATCTCCTGTCTTGACCTCCCAAAGTTCTGGGATTACAGGCATGAGCTACTGTACCAGACTCCCTTGCTTTCTTGTTAGATATATTTGATGCATACGAAGAGTAGATGAAATACATGTTTGTTATATAAAGCATAAAATAATGATGCTTTAAACTCACACCTAACTCAAGAACCAAAAACGACAAAAACCCATCCTAGCCCATCCTCCAGAGGTCAGCACAGCCCTAAATATGTATATCATTCTACTACATTTAAATATATATACTTATATCACAAATATATGTGAAATAATAACATGTTGTTTCATTTTGCTTATTTTTGAGCTCTATTTAAAAAGCATGATACGGTGGATGCTAGGGAAGGCGATCCAGGTCTTGTCTCCAGGGTCAAGACCTTCATCCCCACATTTGCTGACAACGCCGGTCTATGTCCCCCTATGGGACTTGTTCTAGGCTAAAGGCAGCTGCTTTGTTCCTCCCCAGTGGCAGACTACATCTAATGACTGGGTGATGCAGGAGTACAAAAGCCTGGACCACCTACCTCAATTATGAACATCTCTGAAAAGCCTTCCCAGCTTCAGAGCTCCCAGTGGAATTTCCTGAAGCGTCCATGATACTGCAGTGCAGCTCAACATCTCTTTCAGCTTACTCTAGCTTCCTCCACTCCCTTACGGATGTTGTTCCCCAGAGTACTCCATTGCAAATCCCCTGCAAGCAAATCTCAATCTCAGAGTCTTTCCTGGGAAACATGACTGTTGTGGGTTGCAGTGTATCTCTCTAAAAGACATGTTGAAGTCCTAACCCCACAATCTGTGGCCTTGGCCTTATTTGGAAATAAGGCCTTTGCAGATGTAATCAAGTTAAGATGAGGTCATAATGGATTAGGATGGGCCCTAAATCCAATGTCTGTTTCCTTATAAAAAGAGAGAGATTTAGAGAAGCACAAAGAGACAGAGGGAGAGACAATGGAAGCAGAGATTTTACTACTACAGCTTCCAGCCAAGGAATGTTCAAAATGGCCAAAAAACACCAGAAGCTAGGAAGAGGCAAGGAAGGACTCTTCCTGAGAGCCCGAGAGCCTGCACAGAGGGCACAGCCCTTCCCAACACCTTGATTTTGGAGTTCTATCCTCCAGAACTGTGAGAGAATAAATTGCAACTCTTTTTTTTGGAGGGGGGTGGTGGTGGACAGAGGCTCACTGCAATCTCCACCTCCCAGGTTCAAGCAATTCTCCTGCCTCAGCCTCCAAAGTAGCTGGGACTACAGGCATGTGCCACCACACCCAGCTAATTTTTGTATTTTTAGTAGAGACGGGGTTTTGCCATGATGGTCAGGCTGGTCTCGAACTTCTGACCTCAAGTGATTCGCCCACCTCAGCCTCCCAAAGTGCTGGGATTACAGATATAAGCCACCTCGCCCCGCCAATAAATTGCTATTCTTTAAAGCCACCTACTTTGTAGTGATTGGTTGTAGCAACCCTAACGAAAGTCACAGGTAGACCTAAGACACACACTTGTGTAGTCTTCTGGAACTTGCTTTTTTTTTTTTAACTCAGCAGCATGTTTCTGAGAATTATTCTTCCTGTTGACCTAGCTGTGGTTCTCTATTCATTTTCTCCAGTAACAGTGGCAATATCTCATCAGAGATATATTAACAATATACACAGCCAGTTGTGGTGGTTCATGCCTGTAATTCTAACACTTTGGGAGGCCAAGGCATGGAATTGCTTGAACCCAGGAGTTTGAGATCAGCCTGAGCAACAAAGCTAGACCTCACCTCTACAAAAAAACTTCTTTTTAATTAGCTGGACATGATGGCACACACGGGTAGTCCCAGCTACTCAGGAGGCTTGAGTGGGAGGATCATCTGAGCCAGGAGTTTGATGCTGCAGTGAGCTATAATCACGTCACTGCACTCCAGCCTGGGTGACAGAACAAGACCCTGTCTCGAAAATATATAATAATGATAATAGTAAAAATACATTATTGAAAAACCTTTAATTCTGTTCTTTCTAAAATGATTATGCATCTGTTTTGCGATACACTCTCTTACAGTATTTATGTTCCTTTATTTTATTTCAAATGTTTGAGAAAAGTTTCTATATAAATTTT